GTTTGCTGACTGACTCTGGGAGGTTCTCGGTGCTCACCTCTCAGGAGCGTCCCTCTCCATCCCATCCCCTCTTCCCGGCTTCAGTGCACACCCGTCCTTCCTGCTCATCAGTGTTCTCAGACGTCCACGTGCAAACAGGTCACCAGGGGCTTGTGAAAATGCGGGTTCTGATTCTGAGGGGGCGGGGCACAGCTCAGTGCAGCAGGAGAGGCTGCGGTCCATCCCGGCGTGAACCGGGGGTGAGGGGGACGGCAGAGCGGCTGCAGCAGCCCAGCTCTCAGCAGCCGGGGCCGAGGGCATGTGTCCGCCACTCTGAGCAGAAGCCAGAGGTGTGGGCGGTAGGCGGGGCGTGCGTGGGGATGCGGGTCACTCTGCGCTGCTCTCACAGTGAGATGCGAGGGGCGGGATCCGAGAGGGGACACACAGAGGTGGTGAGAGAGCGCTGTCATCATCAGGGGACGTGCACGGCAGTGCCAGGACCGTGATGCACACAGTGTGCAGCCCTGCAGGCTCCCCACCGCTTACTCTCTCGGGAACAAGCTTCCTGGCAGGCACGGGGCCCATCCGCATCTGCTGAAATCCACTGTCCTGGGGAGGGACCAGCTGCGCCACTCCTGGCCCTGAGCGCGGGGCGGGGGCCTCTCAAAGCTCCCACCTCCTGGCACAACCTGCCGGCCGTGGCCCCGTAGCCAGGCTCCAGAGGAAGGCAGCGGCCGTCCTTGCTTCTTCTTGGGGCCCTTCACATGGCGGGGGTGCCAATGAGGGTGGGATGGGGAACGCTGGAGGCTAGAGAGCAGAGCCACACACACGGGGTATGCTTGAGGTTGACCACTGTCCCCCAGTGCGATCATGCTGCAGTGATCAGGGGACAGACAGGGGACTATGGACAGATGGTGGTCACCGCACTGGGTCTGTCCAGGCTCCCATGTTCCAAGTCGGGGCCGCAGCCTCCCCTCCTGGAGCTGAAACTACTCGTGATCCTTGGCAGGGGAGGAGGGAGGCGGGCAGCGAGACCCAGGCCCACTTCCCCAGCCACCAGCAGTCCCTGCACATCCCGCAGGCCCAAGAGCTAGGAGCTTCCAGAAGGAGTCCCATAAAACAAAGCCAGTGGCAGGGGAGACCAGGAGACCCAGAGGGAAACCAGCGAGGGTGGGGCCCTGAGCCTTCAGTAAGGGTAAACCAGAAAAGAGGAAGAAAGACGGATATTTTAGTTCCAGGTAAAGGAACACTCAGCTCTGAGACGTATTTTCTCGTAGTCTGCGCCTGATCCACGTGAGGCACTTAGCCGCCAGACGGCCGTGGTGTCAGCCACTGTGCTTGAGATACTTAGTGTGTGTTCAGTTATCTCATAAAATAAATCAGCTCTTTCTGTAATTATTCTATTAGGTTCTAAGAAATGAAGCTTTAAAAATTCCTACTGAAAATTAAGCTCAGATAAAACTGCCTTCCTGACCGTCGTCACTGGTCACCAGCCGTCTTATCTTGTTTTGAACGGATTCTCTTAGCGGTGTTCTAGTCTTCGACTCTGTTCCTGCAAGGAAGGCATTTACCAAAGTCCTGCTGTTCTGGTCCTAACACCTGCCCCCCAGCATGCTGGTCTCGAGAACGCTGGGTCCTGCACGAAGGCCTTTCACGATAAATAACCAAGTGCTTCGAATCTCCACCAAATGCAATAGGGTAATTACAGGACAGTTAGTCACAAAATAGTTTAAAATGCCCCCAAAAATCTGCAACTACCCATTTTTTAAGAGGTACCAAGAAAATCACACGGAGAGAGCAAAACAATCGATCGATGTGAAGACCAATCAGTCAGACCAGTCAGAGTCCCTCGGCCTCAGAGGCCACGTGGTCCAGCCGAGGACACGCAGACCAGGCGCTAGGCCGTGACCCTTAGGCCCTGGGCGGCAGGGAAGCACAGCTTCGCCCTCGGGCCGCAGGGCCGAGCCTGGACCTCAGAACCACGGGGCCAGGCTGCTGAGTGTGCAGAGCGCCGAATCTGCCTTTGCACAGACGCATTTCCACAGGCAGAGACTGCCAGCCCGCGCTGAGTGAAGCCTGCCGCCGGGAAACCCGCTCCCACCCAGATTTCCATCATCCCCGCGGGGCGCCCGGCCAGCCCTACCTGCATTTCTGTGCTCACGCCGCCTGTCCCCCAGCTCCAGCACCTGTCCTCCCCTAGGTCCCTTTCCCTGGGCCCCAGCCACTGCCAGCCAGGACCACGAGGGCCGGCGTCACCCACGAGGGACCAGGGAGGTCCCTGAGCCCCCTCCTTGCCAGCTTTCTCTGTCATTTGATTCGTGTGTGTTGTTTAATGAGGTTTTTTGAAAGGAAAAACTCAGTATTTCTTTTCTACTCGGCAGAAGTCTCCCTGCAGTGACAGTGACTGAAGCTCTGTATTTCCAACACACACTCATTTGGTGTCAGTTAATTCTTAAAACCCTCCCCTCCCTGCCTTTACATCTTAGGCAACCGGCTCTTCACTGGCCCAACTCAAAAACATGAGGGTTTGCAGAGCACGAGTGAGCATCGCCTGGCACCCCCCCGCCCGCCTGTCTGGACAGACCACCCCGGCCCCCAGGCTCACAGAGAGCCAACAGGAGGCCGCTCCTGACCCGGCCCTCCCCTTGCTCGGCCTGCGGCAGCAGCACAGAAGCCCGCCCCTACCTCTGCCTTCTCCCCCCGACCCCCTGTACAGGCGGTGCAGACTCACTTCCCGCGTATCTGAAACCCTGAGCAAGGACCCCCTGCCCCCGTTCTGCCCCGTGGGCTGAGTGGCGCCCTCCCCCGTGGCTCTCCCCGCAGGGCCCTTGGGACGTGGCCCACCTCCAGCCCCGACATTGCACTCAGACTGGAGCACCTAGAACGGGGCCTTGGGCTGCTCCACGGGCCTCCGACCGGCTGGCTCTCCGGCACGTGGGCACCCTGCTTCAGCCTGGGCTCCACAGATGTTCAAGCGCCCTTCCCGACGGACCTCCGCCGACGGCGTGTCACCTGACGGCGGCGGTGCACGCGGCCCGCGCCGCCCCCGCCCACTAGGATGGCCGCCACCCAAGGCCCCGCGGAGGAAAAGCCCAGACTGCAGCCACCATCAATTTGACATCAGGCCAAGTCCTCCACGTGAGGAGAATTAGTGCTAAGAGGCTGAAGGTTACTCAGGGCCGTGGGCACGACACAGGGCAGGAGCACCGAGAATGCTATTAATATTATGTCTAATATTAATATTAGGAGCAGTCGACAGCAGCATGCGGGCTGGGGGGAAACGGCACGAGAGGGGAGGCGAGGGCGGAGTGAGAACTCACATCTGGGTGGGGAATGGCGTACTGTCCCTGGATCGTGTAGGCCTGGAAAGAGAGAGACTCTGTCAGCTCGAGAAGCAGCTGGCCACGCGTCGCCCCCCCCACACCTCCCCTGCAGGACAGGGGCTTTCTCCTGGCTGGGCTCTCCCGTGAGCAGCACCTTGGCCCTCCAGTCAAGGCTTTCCCCCTCGCAGAGCGAGCCGGCCCCACCGGCCGCCTTCCTGCAGGAGGAGAGAGAACCCTCCCAGGGCACTGGAGCTACGCCCAGACGTGAGCGGGGAGCTGCCCCCACGCCCCCAGAGCTGCAGGATGCCGAGGCTGGCCGAGCTGGCGGGAGGGAGGAAAAGGACCGGTCAGAAGGCTTCCGACTCTCACTCCCCCTGTGCCTAGAAAGAATCTAAGAACGACCTGTCTGACCCCTGCTCATAGATCTACTAACTGTTAACCTTTGGAAAATTTAAGCAGCCGTCAGAGGAAACACTGTCAGGAAGTATTTACCCTAAGAAAACCACATGATAAAAAAGGAAGCTTTAAAAGGTGACCCCAAACCAATTTTGCAAATGCCAGATTAAGTAAGAAATGCACCCAAATCAGCCAGACTGTCTTCCAGCCTCAGAGGAGCAGGTGGCCGTTCCGACTTGAGGGGCACACGCTCTCGGCGGCACAGCTCCCAGGGGGGCCAGGGCAGACCCCCAAGCTCTCGTTTTGGTATCACTGTGTCACTCGCCTTCAAGACAGTGACTCTGTGCAGCCACAGTGAGTGTGGGACCTGAGCCTCTTCCACCACCCGCCCCCACCTGCCTAAACAGTCTGTCAGCAAAGATGCTTCCAGAAACTCATGGCCAAAAAACAAACAAAACACACGGAGTCAAGGGAGAGTAAAGACGAGGACCTGCCATCAGGACCCAGGGACGTGGAGGGTGCTCCATTCTGGGCTGCGCTCAGGGGCTGCAGGTGTGGAGGGGCCCAGGTGCGGAGGCCCCCACCTGTCCCAAGTGGGCATGTGACACCACCAGCACCCATGCCTGCGGGTCCTTGTGCACCCAAGAGGGACACCTCAGGCCAGGCTGTGCGTCACTCCCGTGGACCCCAGACGGAGGGTGATTGCCAAGGTCCTGCCAAAGCTCAGGTTTTGAATCTGCTGGGAGTTTTCATCACAAAGAACCAGAGAGGAGTTAAAGGCCAACCAGCCACTGGACAGGGGTCACGGGAGGTGAGGCCCTGGTCTGGGCGAGGCCGAGGGCACCTCGTGAGGAGTAAAGGAACCTGATCAGAGACAGCCAACATATGCGCGGGTCCCTGTCTGTAGGTGTTGTGCAGAGGCCACCGGGCATGTGCTCCGGGTGTCCCCGAGTGTGACAGACCCTGGGACAACACGCACTCCCCAGCGGGGCAGTTCTTCATCCCTGACTTCTCTCTGTCCGCTCAGGTGTTACGGTGCCTAGCTCTACTTGAAGCGCACGGGCGCCCACCATCCTTTCTGGACAGAGTGCGGAAGGTACAAGGTTCTGTCTGGATGACACCTCTATGGCCTGAACCTGCTGGACAGCAGGGACTGCCTCTCGGCAGTGGGGGTGCCGCTGGGCCTGGAGACTCTGGGCCCTTGCATGATGGGCATCTTACAGACGGGTCCGGGAGATGCTCCAAGGTCTAGATTTCTCACGTGTCCTGCATGTGGGCAGTGAGGGCCTGGGGTCTGGAGGGGCCCCGTGCTGAGTTCGTATTCTGGCTCCTCTGCCCAGCTACCTGCAGTGCTGCATGGTTCTCGAGTGACTTTGTCCCCCGACTAATGACCAAGACTTAGTCACTGGCTACACCAGACTGTCCCAAGGGCACAGGTGCTGATGTCCTGGCAAAGCCTCGGACAGGTGTCCAGGGTGGCTGTGGCCTCGCCGCCCTGACTGTGAGGTGGGCCTACTGCTCTGCTTTGCTGGGCGGGGCGGGGCTCGGCCACACAGCTTCCTGGACCCCGGCTAGTGCTGACCGAGGCGACTCCTTTCTGGATAAAGTCCACGCTTCCCCACGTGGGGTTTGTTCACTCATTGACCAAGGGGTAGAGACCACACAGGTGACTCACGTGCTAGCTTACCATGAATCTGGGGGAAGGAAAAGGGTTCTGAATGGGGTGGGCCATCTGCAGCTGGACAGGGAAGCCGGAGGACCACGGACATGGGCTGCCCGGAGCCATGTGGCCGCACGGGAGCCGCTGTGTCCCTCCCTGCGGGAAGCACCACCAACACGGCTGCAGAGGCAGGAACACAGGCCTGGCCCTCACTTCGTGTGGGGGCAACCAGGAGATCTGATGAGGTTCCTTTACGTGGTGAGGAAGAGCGTGCATTCACGCCCCATCCCCTGCCCCAGTCACTCTGGGACATCTCCGCCTTAACTCTCCCTTGAACAAGACACACGATGCAGCCGCGGGGACGCAGAGCTCCTCCTAGTACCACTGGCCTGGTGTTTCCAAAGTCCATCTACCATGGCGACAGTGATCCTGCCGTGGGCAGGACAAGCTGAGCTCCTGAGGACGCCCTGGCTGTGCCCAAGGGCAGGAGATGGACCAGCCCCGCTATCCCCCTCTACTGGCCCTGCTAAGCCAACTGCTGGCCTTAGACAAACTTCTGTGACCCCGGGCTTTCCAGGCCCTTCCTGGTGGGAGAGAAAGGTCAGCGGCTCCAGCCAAAACAACAGGTGTGTGAAGCGGACGCCGCGGCTTGCTGGGCCCGCGTGGAGCGGGCCGGAGAGGGAGGGTCAGCCCTGTAACCAGGACGCCCAGCAGGGCCTCTTCTCCATCCTCACGCACTCCTGGGGGTAAACTCGTTTGTGGGAAACTGGGAACGTGTGTTTCAGGGGAAATGGGACCCTGGATCTTACGGTCCCATGAGTCTCAACCATGAGTCAGAGGTCATGGGGGCGCTCCTGGCCTCCTCCCTCCCCAGAAGCGCTAGTGGACCAGAGTTGCGGTGCTGCCTGGGCTGACCAGCGTGAGCGCCGCCCAGAGTCCTCCTGGGCCAGGTCAGGGAGGAGATGTTTCCAGGCCCAGGCTCCGCGGGATGTCCGCCTTGGCCCTTTCTGTCTGCTGGACACTGCCCAGCGGCCTCCCCAGTGCGGCCCGTGTCCCCTGGGGCCTGGCTGTGGGCCAGGAGAGCTCTGCGTCCTGCGCGGGGCGGGGAGACGTGCACGTGAGGGGGAGAAAACCTGAGTGCACTAACGGGCAGCGGCGGGGGCTGCAGTAAAAGGCTGAGGTTGGCAGTGGAGGCCGCGAGCGGGTCGGCTCTTACCTGACCACCTGCAAAAATGACAGGGGTGGAGGCGGGCTTTGGGCGGTAGGGAATGGTGGCACCTTTCGGTGGGGACTAGGAAAAGGGACAGGAGAGGGAGAGAGAGCATTAGAGCAGCTTCGCAGCGTGACAGTTGTGAGGCCTCCTTCCGAGCCCGCCCCCCCAGGCCCCCCCGCCCTCGCCCCGGCCCCTCAGGTCCTCCACTAACCACTGCCTGAAATACAACCCCCAGCAGGAGGCAGCGGGCTCCTGCGGAGTGTGGGTCCCAGACGGGTGAGACCGGAGGACTTGACCCCGTCTGCGCATGCAGATGACCAGACAGAGGCCAGACAGATGGCCACCCGGCTCCCCCGGTGTCAGCCCGGGAGCCTCGCTCTGAGCCTCCTCCTTTAATCCTCGGGAAATAGCCCAGTGCCCGTGGCTCCGCCCGGCCTGCAGTGATGTTCAGGGGCCGTCATTGCAGGAAAGTTCGAAACATTCAGCTTCACTGTTTAGAAACAGGGCTGTCTTTTAACGAAGCGTAGAGTCCGAATGGTGTTCCAGCCGTGATGCGACTTGCGCCGAGTCCCTCTGACTAGTCTGCGTCCAGCAGCACAGGGCCCTCATCTTCGGATGAACACTATTCAAGTGCCAGAAATCTGCCGATTTGGGTAAAGTCAGAGCATTCGGTCCACCCTGTGCCCTGGGAGCAGAGTCCACCGGGCTGTGAGTCCGTCAGTTGGAGGCTCCACCAGGCAGAGGCAGAGCGCAGGGGCCAGGGCAGCCTGGCCTCGCCTGCAGTTCTTGAAGCCACTGCCCACTCAGGCCCACCCACAGGCAGGGATGTGGGGACAGCAGAGTGGTTGGCAGCTTCAACTCTGCAGCCCAGGCCACACCATGCCAGTTGTCCATGCCATGTGACCTTGACCTGCTGTGTGACTTGGCTGCATTGTGAGACCTTGACCTGATGTGTGACCTTGACCTGCTGTGTGACCTTGGCCCAGCTGCGTGACCTTGCTGTAAAGCAGAGAGGGCTGCTTCAAGGGCCCGTGAGCTGATGGTGAGGAGGTAACGCTGAGCTCTCGTCTCCAGCATGTCTGCGGGTATGACTGGCCAGGGCTCTGTGTGGACTCAGGGCAGACTTGGCTCAACACGGTTTGGAAGCGTGACTACACTGAGAGTGAGCGAGTGACGGTTTCCACTGTGAGCAAGGGCTCAGTCTGGTTGCTGCCTGCCCTCCAGCCCCGAGCTGGGTGGTGGACTCCCTGGCCCTCAGCCTCAGCTGGTCACCCCCGCTCCACAGTGCCCTCTGACCCACAGATGGTGGTGCTGGGAGCTCTGCTGGGCCCTCTGGCCGTGACTCCCAGGTCCAGCTCTCCGGCGGACGGAGGCCTGCTGAGCACAGCCCCCCTGCCAGGCCCGCGGCCCCGACACTCATGTCCACACACTTCAGCCACACCTCCGGCAGCCCTCCCTCAGTGGGGACTTCAGGGGTGGAGACTCCAGTCCCTCCGCGTTGAAAATCGGACCTGCTGCTTCCAGGCGCCGCGACGTCTCCTCCCGCAGGACGGCTGTGCCGGCCTCCGGGAGATCCGTGAGACAAAGCCTCAGCCCTGCCCCACAAGGACTGTCACCCATGCTTCAGGGCCGCCATCTCCGGTCAGCACCCCTCCTCCCCTTGCCGGGAAGGGGCCTGGCAGCTCCAACCTCGGCCCTGGGGTCACCAGCGCCACCCAGCCAGCTGGGTCGGGCTTCTCCTGTGGGGCCCCGTCTGACGGGGAGTGCAGCTCAGCGCCGAGTCCCTCCTGGCCCTGCCCTTCTGAGGGGCCCCCGCCACGGACCAGTCGGGCCTGTGTGGTCTTGCTCCTCTGGCGTCCGCCAGACAGTGAGGGGGCCTTCCTGCCACCTGCCCAGGCCCCTTGCGGCCCCAGTGCCGAGGACTGAAGAGTTGGGCCAGCACCGATCGTCACCGTGACAGGTGTGTGAGGAAGACTCCAGAACAAAGCGTTTAGAAAAACACTTCTGAGTTCACAGTACCGTACTTCAGGAAGACAAAAACCACACAAATATTTTTTAAAGGAGCTGGACGTGGTGCTTTAACACCAAGTCAAGTACAAAAGATGGGTGAACACACAGGTGCCCCGAGGCTGATCCCATGGGAGCCGCTGTCACCTGGAGCACCTCCAGCATGGGACCTGGGGCACAGAGGGAGGAGGGCCTGGTGGCTGGGACACCCACATAGATATTGGAACCTTTTCGTTTGAGGCATGACGAATTCATTTTCATTTTTTTGAAAAAACAGAACTGTTGAGAGCTTCTGTCAGTCTTGCTGCAGTTTGGCTACTGATTGAAATTTAAACCTCAGGTTTTGCCCCCCAACCCCGAACTTTCAAGAGAGGCTTTTTCCTGCTCAGCTGGGCCTCCTTTGCTTCTCCTGTGGTTAATCCTATTGCCTTTGCAGTTCTGCATTTTCGTGTTTTTCCTAAGATCCTGCTGGCCCACCTGGCAGGTGGCTCTGATGCCTGCAGGCCGGCCCAGCACAGTGGCGTCCTGTCCACAACGTCCTCCATCCGCATCTCAGCTGAGACCTGCCTCCAGTGCACACCCGCCTTCAGCGCACACTCGCCTTCAGTGCACACTGGCCTCCAGTGCACACCCGCCTTCAGTGCACATCCGTCTTCAGTGCACACCCGCCTCCAATGTACACCTGTCTCCAGCGCACAGCCGTCTGCAGTGCACACCTGCATTCAGTGCACACCCATCTTCAGTGCACACCCGTCTTCAGTGTACACCTGCCTACAGCACACACCACCTTCAGTGCACACCCGCCTCCGTGCACACTGTCTCCAGTGCACACCTCACTCCAGCACACACCTGTTTTTAGTACACACCTGTCTCCAGTGCATACGTGCACCATTTTTAAGGCCTGATCCTTTGCTGAATGCCCCTCACATCATGAACTAGTAACTATTCATCTAACTCCAGAAATGAGGGCTGAGGTGTGCACCGCCTTCTCTCCCCAAATCCCCAGTGAAGACGACGGACCCACCCGAGAAGGCAGGAGCCAGCAACTGTCCCCCAAGGGCGCACCCAGGACAGTTCTCATGCGCTTTGCCTTGGGCCTGGGTCAGGGACCTGGGCACGTTGTCAAGGCCCGTCCCCCAACAGCCCTAACCATGGGAATCCTCAGGGCCTCCGAGCGCCGAAGACTTTGCTGCCTCCAACACTCAGAAGCCACAGCCACGTGGAGCAAGGGGCCGGCGGGTGAGGCTGCAGACCCGCAGAGACTGTACCTCCAGCATGACCACACAGATCTGCTTGACACACTGGATGATAGCGTCAGGGGTCCCCGAGATGGTCACTGCCCGCTCCGTGGAGTTGGGCAGCATGTCCCCGGCCACCTGGACCTGGGCACCTGTGGACTGGAGAAACCAGAGGTTGGACGGGCCCCCAGGCAGGGGCAGCACGCACCAGAGTAGCAAGTCCTGGATTATCTGGGGGAGTTGAGGGCCCCTTGGGAAACCCGTCCTGATGTTGCTCAGGGTCACCCCTCCACACCCACCCAGGCGCCCCAGCCCTCCGCACGCCCCCTCAGGAGCCCCTGTGGCCAGCCTGGACCCGGTGCAGGACGAGCGATGCACGATGCAGGCATTTTAACCTGCGCAAAGGCATCTGCAGAAGATAGAACTTTTTTCAAATACGTGGAATTCTATCTCTCTGTGGAGCTTTAGGTCAGAGAAAGACGGACCCTGGTCAGGCATCCTAAACTGTGTGGCTGTCTTCCCCTGAAGAAATCAAGACTGGGTAGCCGCCCTTCTTCTGGGAAAGGGAAGGAGCCAGACTTTCCTTGGACTAGACAAATGGGCGACACGGTGCTCCCCCAGGAAACCGGCCTGATCATCAGAGCAGGCCCGTCACTGGGGGCACAGCCCAGGCCTAGAGCCACGGGACTGGGGGCCCATGACCGTGTCCCAGGAGTCAGGGCCAGCACCCTGGCCCCTCGGCATGATGCCTGCACGTTGGGGGGTTTCCATGGGTGGGCTGTCCCTCCCCTGTGGTAAGCTCCATGCTGGCAGGGTCTGCAGTGACAGGGGCCTGTGCCCTGGCCGGGGACAGCCGGGCCCGCCCAGCTCTCGGCACCGTCGGTGGGGAGGGGTCCAGCTCTCGGTACAGCCGGCAGTGGGGGGGTCCGTTACCTCCCTGATCTCCTTGATCTTGGAGCCGCCTTTGCCAATCAGGGACCCGCACTGGCTGGCAGGGACCACCAACCTCAGGGTCACTGGGGGCTTGCTAGTGGCTGGGCTATTGCTCATGGAGTTAATGATGTCCTAGGGAGAGAGAGCACGCATGTCAGCCGCGAGAGCAGACAGCCCTCGGCCCGGAGGCCCCCGGCCTGAGAGGTTCCTGGTCAGCAGGGGAGGAGGACTGTGGGGAGGTGCACACAGGGGGCAAAGGGCTGGGGGTGCACAGCGGAAGGACATGGCGGCTGGGCCAGACTTGCTGCAGTTGCTGCGGGGGCTGCAGAGGAGCTGCGGCCCAGCAGGGTGTGCCCTCTTGGGGGCAGGGCCCCCAGGCGCTCCTCACCTCCTCAAACTTGTAGGCAATCATGGCAAAAGCCTTGAAGATGGCGTCCGTGGGGCCCGTGATGGTCACGATCCTCTCTGGGCAGTTTCCCTCCGAGATGTTGATCCTCGCCCCACTCTGGAGGGAGACGGGCACACCCAGAGACCGGACTGAGGCCACGGCCCGGGTGCTCGGGCCCGCTGACCACAGGGACGCACGTGAGCCAGTGGTGCCCGGACCTCAGCAGCAATGGCCAGGCCTCCCGCCACGCCCAGCTCGCCTGCCACCCGGGCCTGCCAGCTCTGGGCCAGAGCCGCCGGGAGGCCCCTGGCCTTGACTCTCCCGCCAGCCCCAGAACAAGACGCATTCGGGATGCCCACTCACCTCTTCACGCATCTTCTTCACGGTCTCACCTTTCTGGAACAAAGGTTCAGACAAGGCAGAGGTCAAGCAGGCTCCCACCCCAGCACATCCCGCTGCCTCGTGCGCACTCAGAGGGCGGGACTCCGTGCCCAACATGCCATGGCTCCCCGCAGCCTGGAGGCCTGGCCGCAACCTCACCAGGGGGCCCAACAGCCTTGCCCAGGGCTCGAGTTGTAGGGTGAGTGGGCCCGGCCCAGAGGCCTGACGTGGCTCTAGGCTTGCCCTGGGCACCTGCTCCTCCCCCCACCCCTCCCCTCCTGTCCTCACCACGGGCAAAGTGGGGACCAGGCCCACGGGCTTGACTCCCAGGGCAGCCCCTCGAGGCACTTGTGAGGAGGAGCTGACTTGAGCTCTGGGGACACCCCCAGCGTTGAAGGACCACTCAGGACCAGCAGAGCCAGACGTGGTGAGGGTGCACCAGCAGGCGGCCTCGCCCCCTCCCCCCAGGAGCAGCGCTTCCAGCCCACCCGCGCTGCCCGGGGGCGTTGCTGTCGTTTTAGAATGGACTCTACCACTCGCTGGCCACAGGTGGAAGACTGCTCTGAAGAATGTCAGTGAGAATTCTGACTGGGCTCTTAAACCCAGGAAGGACCAGCCACCAGGGCAGTGGGGGCGGGGCGGCCTTGGGGGTTGCTCCCCGGCTCCCTCAGAGCCGCTGAGCCGGGGGCCCCAGGACCAGCCTCGGGTGGTGCAGCCTGAGGTGAGGACATAAGGGTTCCGGGGGAGTCCTCACTGCACGTCCCGCGCACAGGGCCACTGCAGCCCTCACTGCCCCCCACAGAGCCCCCGAGGGCAGACTTCACGCAATAATTACCTTCCCAATGATGCTTCCAACTTCCTGTAGGAAGAGAATCACAGAAAGACGACGTCACAGAGCAGAAGGAGGAAAACCTGTGACAGACGCGATGAGAGCCCCCACCTCCCTCCCAGTCGTGCGTGTAGAAGGGAGAACGGGGCGAGGCGGCAGCCCTGCCTCTGACCGAGCGACTGACAGACAGACAGACAGACAGACAAAGGGAAGGGGAGTGGCCAGCTGCTTTCCAGAGAAACACGTCAACAGGCATCACCTTAAGGCCTCAGGGAAACGCTGCAAGAAACAGGTTAAAAATAAGACCTCCTCCCATGACTCTGTGATGTAAAAAAGTTCAACACCGCCACTGCTGCTTGACGTTTCACAAAACGTA